GTGACTCCAGCCGAGCGAGATAAACTGACAATTCTGGGTTTGTGTTTTAGCTCGAGGCCTCGTCTCATCCCCTGCGATATAAGCCCGATTTAGTTGGCAAAACCCCATGACAGTTTTCCCGCACTACGACATTGGATAGAGTTTGCTTAAATAAGTTAAGCGATTAGGTCCGTGAAACCTTTAACCCGCAGTTAATCTAAATTTACATTGTTCTTTTCGGCACGACTTTTGAAACCACTCGAGCAAGACTTTTCGCGCAACAAGTTTCACTTTTTATCTTTCGAATTACCTTTCAAAGACGTGAGATTATTCTGAAATATTTTCACACTCTTGCGCGAAATTATCATATGATTCATTTAATCGATTAGTCCTGTTTCACCGACAATTTTTGCTTGATATATAAAGTTAATGAAAGAAGCGATTGAAAAAAAATTGCTTCTTCGCTCCGAATAGTGTGTTTTAACGAAAGCGATACTTGTCGCGGCGCGATATTCCACGCACGTATTAATGTATTTACCGAAACTATCCACACATCTCGGCAAAACTCGGAGGTGACATAAATACTTCACAGCGGACAAATGTCGCGCTGCATTTTTCACATCGTTCATACCTTCGCCGCCAGAAAGACCGTGTTCTCTCCTGCATCCGTAAAGAGGTTAGCGGAAACAACCCAACCGCCGCAACAGCAGTCTGCGGCGTAGCAGATCTCCCCGAATCGCGCGCAAATCCCCAGGTGGTTTCTCCACTGGACATTCTCTTCTCTTTCTCTCCCCCTTCTCTCTCTCTCTCTCTCTCTCTTTCTCTCTCTCGTAGTGCAAGCTGGCAATTTTAAGCTATAAGCACGAACCGGCACCGGCTATCCGTGTAGCTCGCTTCGTTTGAATTCGCAGATGGAGCGTATCTACGCCCCGTTGGCACCTGTCTTGGCCACGTTCGCGAAAGTCCAGCCAGATCTGCGGAATCGGCCTGCCGCAGATTGACCGCTTTGTTCGAACGGTCGTAGAACCCACCCGCTTTCTTTCCTTTCTCGCGCAGCATTTCCACCCCGCTGTCTCTTTAAAACGTCCGCCGGCGAAGTCCCCGAAGAGATATTTTAAGAATGACACTCGGTCCTCGGTCGTCGAGGCGTGATCTATGTGTCAACTGTCTCGCCAATGTTTTACTGTCCCCACTCGACAGTCATGGCATTTGACTTCATGCATCGAGAAGTCGCACACGGAAATAATGTTAACAACGTCTGAAAGAAATGTAAAGACATGTGAAAGCTGTAATCACGCAGAGGTTCTCTCTGAGTTTTTTTTTTCGCATCCGGGAGTTGTTTAGATTATTATTGTGATTTATTTTTATGTTAGCGCTGTATTATCATTATTATTCGAAACTTTGTGCATTGTTGGTTTTCTTTTTATTTCCCTAGAATTTTATTCTCACAGTCTTTAGTAGACACGATTATATCTTCTACATTCTCTTTTCTGCAAGAGAAATGTCGTAACAATTGGGCTTTGTAATCCAATTTAATTGAAACGTAAATTAGCGACAAAGAAATAACGCATTCCCATCTTAGTGCAAGCGGAGGAAAAACCGCGAAAGAAAGGAAAAAGTGTTGAATCGACGAACCGGGGTCTATTTTCCGGAAATAGCGCGTTAAGAAAACTAGTTGACTTAAAGTCAACTAATTGGAAGGCCGCGATTCTGCTGCTTCAATTCCACGAGCAACGGAGCGGACGAAAATAAATGGTACGGCAGGGTTGGGTAAATAGGGCAAAAGTAGCAGAAAGATATTGAACTGGCCAGGCCGCTACGCCACAGCCGAAGCTCACGGAAATTGCCTGCAATGAAAGAAGGCCAACGGCATCAAGTTATTTCGTACTACATTCAGCTTGTCAAACTGTTTGAGAAATCTTTCTGCGGGAGTCACGTATCTCGCGGGGATAGCAAGATTTATATAACCGAAGAATCTTTTCACTTAACAGTGTGATCGGTACACTAAAGTTTTTAATATATCAATTATGTGTGATACTTTGTGTCGTCTCGCGTCAAATGTAAGTCAAAAAATATACCATATATATTCCCGAAACTTTTTCAAGATATTTAAAAAATTTTTCAGATCATCATGTTACGCAAAAAAGATATAAAAAAAATATCAAAAGTGAATATTGTGTGCTTCACAAAGGCGCGATAAAACATTTCAATTTTGTAAATATAAGAATTCAGCATGATTTTTTTTCATTTGTTAATATTATTAAAACGTCGTGCAGTTTGCTTTTTAAAAGGCATGCGCTGACGTCTTCACCTCGGGAGTTCAATATTATTTGAAGATTTTCCAATACTCAACGTCACATTTCTGCCTGCAAGATATTGTTCCGCATTTCTCGCTTGAGAAGTGATGATTTCAACCGGCAGAGGCAAAGTTCATTTTTTATATCCTTAAAGAATATCAGTCAAGTAAATAGGTCGATACCTTTAGCAAAGTTTCCTTTGTTTATCTTTTATCTACTCCTTTTCATGCAGGAAATTGACAGTCGCATCGTACAGTAGTTATTATAAATCATGAATAGAATTTTACAAAAGAGTTCGCATTGAAAAGTTGCACATTTAAATCTTGTTACATATACATTTGCAAATTATTCGTAATTATAATTGCGGAAATTCGGACGCAGACGTAATCTTTGCTGTTCCCCGAACACGTTTCCTCTTCAAGCCAGGACGCTGAAGGTAGTAATCCCTGTAATGCGACGCGGGCAAGGGGATATTGTTTAAAGGCATACTAGACACGCGTTTTAGCGAGAGGATGACGCCGAGGAGCATGCATCGTTGACAAAGTCGAGATAGACATCGTAATAGCAGCTCCACTATATCACGTACACGCAACATCATTATGCCGCATGCAAGATGTATAACGGTACATAGCAGCTACGGCCGCGACGAAATAATGCTAATTTATTCGGCGTGCATATTAGGGGCGGTGGGTCATGCGTAACTCGAGATGTTTTATCTTTTCTCAAGGATGCGAAGCTATGCGGATAATTGCAGCCGCCGGACGGCCGCTTTCGAAAGCGACAAGCTGTCAATTCTCGACCCCGGCCCCGTTGTTTTGAATATTTAAAAAAAATATGCCCCCTGAATGATTCTGATAATTAAAGAATATTTCCGGAGATAGATTGGAAGTGATGATTTTCAACCGCTATTTCCGGCGATTGCTAACGGTGATTTAAGAAGGTTCGGAAATAAGCTCTTCGGTTTTGTGGCTGAAAAATGCGGCTGCTTGTCCGCACGACCGCCTCTTACGCTTTATGAGTCCCAGATGTATCGCTCGAACCGCGTCGAGCGATGGTGAGGACGCGAAACTAACGCGCGCAACGGCGAAAAATGCGCAGGAAACGGGTTGAAATTCCCAAATGATTTAAGGGCAGGCGAGATCTACCGTCTACTTTGCACCGCGCCCTTAGTGCAACCGCGCGTATCGTAATTTATAATAACGCGAGGCTTATGCAAGAGCGAGAACGGACACGGTGACATTATTACAGGCGGCAGCGTTATTCTGATGCACGACACCCACACTAGCTTTCGGGCTCTAAAATATACGCTTCGTCGTGTACGTGCGTCGTTGTCGTCGTCGTCGTCATCGTGAATTCACGTTCGTTTGTACATTCGCGAACGTAAATGCATGGGTGGGCGAAATGCAAGGTTGCCACCTGCTCATGCGCTCGAAATATAACACCGAACAACGAAATTACTTTGATCTTATGTCACAAACGTTGCGTTGGCGAACGCAATATTTTTATGCTGAATATAAACGTGTTGTTTTTTTTCTTTTTTTTTTTCAAGTATTTTTCCATCACTCCGGATTTGCGAGTGACGCATTATTATAATTGTGCGTGAGATACAAAGTTCTATAAATACAAAATTATATTTTGATTGATATACGGCCATAGTTGGTTGACGTCATCATTTGAAATGTAAGCTTTGCCCATAACATTTTTCGCAACGACGAATGCATATAAATTTTTCCTTTTGCCGGTGCCTCGCTTTTTCGCTTTTTGCTTCCAGAGGGGAACGCACGCGAGCGGTGTCGAGTGAGAGAGCTGGTTATTATTATACTCTCGACTCGTAGAAACTAGGATTGCCAACATCTGTCGCGATTCACATGGCATTGCCGTTCAGTAAAAGCAGATGAATGTAATATGTAGAAATATAAATGTGTAATGCTTGCGCGCTGTAATTAATTGCATTTTCGAATTGTTGGAAATTTAGTTTATCAGACTTTAATAAATAAAGCACTCTTTATATTATTAATATCTGATACTATAATGCGAATATATTAAGTTCAATATAATTTCAAAATATTATTCATTTCATAATGTTCGGATTGCGTACGATATTATTTACAAATTAATTTGTCGCGCGTAAACTCGAGAGATGGAATTTTACCGGAAAGAGTCTGGGAGGGGGATAGAAAAAATTACAGTATATCAAGAGGTCATATAACACGCGCATTCAGACAACCTAAGGAGTGCATCATTACACATAAGTGTTACGGATGAAAGAACGATATAGACACAGGAGGAGGTAAAGCGAGAGAATCACGGAAGGATCGAAGAAGAGCAGAGCGGTGCGCGATTACGGGGAGAAGGATCGAAGAGACGTAATACAAGGGTAAAAAAAAAAAAAAAAGAAGAGAGAAGGATGAGATAGAGGAGGTAGAAAAGGATGAAGGCTCTTTAACCAGAGCGCTCCGAACGACAGGTGAGTCCCTTGGTGGAGGTAGAGGAGCCACACGGTTTCTAGAGACGGAGCATAGAGCGAAGCGGAAGACGAAACGAGAGGGAGAACATTGTGACAGCGGTGAGAGGCAGCGAGAGGCTAGACAGGACGAGTAGAGCGCGGCGATGACGAGGGGCGAGACGGGGCCCCAACGAAGATGCACAACGCAAACGCAGTCAGCGCTCGAGCGGAGGGAGTTGACGGTAGGGCGAGCGGTGAACGGGGAAGGGATAAACACGCCGGCGCCTCAGTACCGCGGTGTCCATCGAGGTGATCGTTTCGCGACGCGTTTTCCGCGCGGAACAAAAGCCCAGTCTCTCTCTCCCTCGCCGTTTAGCTTCGGCCATTCGTGCGAAAAGTTGCTGGCCGAACAAACGGAGCTTGAGCGCCATCGGTCGCTCGCGTCTCTCTCATCCCGTTTATTCTCGATCGCGTTTGTCGCATCGTTTTTACGACTTCGGCCAGCCGACGGCGGAAGTCGACCGGCCGTTCCCTCCTTCTCTCTCTCTCTCTCTTCTCTATCTCGCGCACGGACGGAGTGCCAGCATCGAGGCACGACGCGACTGCACCAGCTGTGACGCGGTCGGGACGAGTGTATGGGTGCTGTGTTACGCGGTTATATCTTCTGTTTTGTGTACGAGTAGCGCGACGAGCGCGAGTCCTAAGTTGGGTTTTGTTTTCACGCCCCGTCCCGATTCCTCGATTTTCTTCTGTGCATCGATGTTTTCGCTCGCGAGAGCCCGTTAAACGCGAGGGAACAAAGGGCGACAGGCAAGCGGGGAGACCAAGAGCGGACAAGAGAAGGCGAGGAAGAGAAAGAAAGACGGAGAGAGAAGAGGTACATATATAGAGACGTCGTATCGATCGAGAGCTGGTCCCACTTCACGTGAGTCGATGAGTTTTGTACCACTGCGTATTCGCTGTCTTCATCAATGTCTTCCCCTGACCACGGACGGGGG